GAGACAAAAAGGAGACAGTAGAGGGCAGACAGGGGAGACAGAAAAGGAGACAGTAGGAGAGGAGACACGTAGATAGATAGATAAAGGAGACAAAAAGAGACAAATAAATAAATAAATAAATAAATAAATAAATAAATAAATAAATAAATTAAATAAATAAATAAATAAATAAATAAACAGCTAGTTGTATTAATTGTATATTAATTCTTTTTATTTACTCTATCTCCTTTTATCTAATTTTATCCTCCTATCCTTAGCAGCAGCAACAGCAGCAACAGCAGCAGCAGCAGCAGCAGCAACAGCAGCAGCAGCAGTAGCAGCAACAACAACAACAACAACAGCAGCAAGAAGGTTATTTATCCCTCTTTTAATTAAAAGTGTTAAAAGGAAAGAAATAAACAAAAGGAGACACAAGAAATACAGACCCCACAACAAGCAAGCAGCAGCTGTCTAGTGCTGCTGCTGCTGCTGCTGTTGCTGTTGCTGTTGCTGTTGCTGTTGCTGTTGCAGCTGCTGTTGTTTGTGCAGCTGTTGCTGCATCTGCTGCTACTGCAGCAGCAGATGCAGTAAGTGCTGATGCAGCAACTGCTGTTGTTTATTTAGCTGCTGGCGCTGCTGCAGAGCCAGCAAAAACTGCTGCTGCTGCTGCTGCTGCTGCTGCTGCTGTGCTATTTGCATGCATGCAGAACGCTTCCTGTCATAGGAAGCAAAAGGAGACAGCAGCAGCAGCAGCAGCAACAACAGCAGCACAATGTATAAACAAATACATAAACTACTATAGCAGATGCATGCAGCAGCAACTGCCCCATTAGATGCATGCTGCAGCAAGTACAGCAGCAGCTGCTGCTGCTGCTGCTTCGCGCTGCTGCTGAGCAGCAAGTCTTGCTCTCTCTGTTGTTGCTTGTATCTCTCCTCTCTTACGTATTAACCAATCTATTGCCTCTACTCGCGCCCTCTGCATAAATAAATAAATAAATAAATAAATAAATATAAATAAATAAATAAATATATAATTTATATATATATGTATGTATTTATATGCATATATATACACGTATATACACGAATATAAGACATAAAAGAGTAAAAAAAAAAAAAGGTAAATAAAATAAATAAAAAGGTAAATAAAATAAATAAAAAGGTAAATAAACAAGATAAATAAATAAAGGAGGATAAAAGGAGTAAATATATATAAAAAATAATTAATTAATTAATTAATTAACCTGTACATATAAATATATAACTTAATACACATATATATAAACACACATATATACACGAATATAAGGTATAAATAACTAATAAAAAGGGAATAAAAAGAGGAAAAAAGAAGGAAAATAGATAGAGGAGAATACGATGAATAAACTGATCTAAAAATATAATTAAATATATAATTTATTTACCTCTACACCTCCGAATTTATTACATTTAAATGTATGACATGCACATACATATATATATAGATGTAAATATACGAATATAAGGTATAAAATACTAATAAAAAGAGGAAAAAAAAGGGAAAATAAATAGAGGAGAATAAGATGAATAGATTGATCTAAAAAAAGAATTAAATATATAATTTATTTACCTCTACACCTCCGAATTTATTACATTTAAATGTATGACTTCTTCTTGTTCCTTCTGCATCTACAAAGAATGCTAACCATGCCTGCATACGACTATTCCATGATACTCCTGGGAATCCACTCTCGGGATTATTATTACCACTACGTCTTAATCTTTTTAATGATGGTGGACCTCCTGCTGCTGCTGCTGCTGCTGCTGCTCCTGCTGCTGCTGCTGCTGCTGCTGCTGCTGATGCTGCTGCTGATGCTGATGATGATGCTGTTAATGGGATGGATGATGAGGACGAAGAAGAGGAAGAGGAAGAGGAGGAAGAGGAAGAAGAAGAGGAAGAAGAGGAAGAAGAGGAAGAAGAAGAGGAAGAGGAGGAAGAAGAGGAAGGGAGACCCGATTGGGTACTACTGCTTACTCCTGCTGCTCCTATTACTCCACCAGGAGATCCACCTGCTGCACCTGCTGCTGCACCTGAAGGAATAACTGTTGATCCTCCTCCTGCTGCTGCTGCTGCTGTATCTGTACCTAATGAACAAGAAGGAAGAATACCTCCTGTTGGGTCTGCAGCATCAAAGTGCAGCAACTTCCTGCTGCGCCCTCTGCAGCAGCAGCAGCAGCAGCACACACATATACACACACACACTCCTGCTGCTGCTGTTGCTGTTGCTGTTGCTGCTGCAAACTTATATTGGTGACACAGGAGACTACACTACACAACAGCACCAGAAGCAGCAGCAGCAGCAGCAACAGCAGCAACAGCAGCAGCAGCAGCATACCTTGATCTCTTGGTGCTGCCTTGAGGGACCTGTAAGGCAGTAGCAGCAAAGTCTCCTAATGCAGCGTTGCTTCCTTGCTGCTGCAGCAGACCCTTAGCAACAAGGGCATTGTCTTGATGTGCTGCTGCAGTAAGTTGTTGCTGCAGCAGCTGCTGCTGCAGCAGCTGCTCCTGCAGCAGCTGCTCCTGCAGCAGCTGCTCTGCCTGCAGCTCAGGCAGCATACCTAAGAATAGTCCCCCTTGTTGCATAACACCAGTAGCATCATTACCTGCTCCTGCTCCTGCAGCAGCAGCTGCTGCAGCAGCTGCAGCAGCTGCTGCTGCTGCTGCACCACCATCAGCAGCAGCAGCAGCACCTCCTCCTCCTGCTGCTGCTACCCATTGGAAGAGAGCAGACTGCAGCAAAGCATCTGATGCTAAACCACGACCAAACAAATCAGGAACCATCCAGGAAGCTGCAGCAGCAAACACAGCAGCAGCAGCAGCAGCAGCAGTAGCAGCAGTAGCAGCAGTAGCAGCAAATGATGGAGCAGCAGCACATGCAGCAGATGCAGCACAAGGTGATGCAGCAGCAGCTGCAACAAGAATAACATCAGCACAAAAACTACAGAAATAGCAGCAGCAGCAGCAGCAGCAGGAGATGCAGCAGCAGGTGTAGCAGCAGCAGGAGGAGATGCAGCAGCAGGAGCAGGAGGTGCAACAAGATTGTATACTTACGTTGGTTAGCTGCTGCTGCTGCTGCTGCTGCTGCTGCTGTTCCTTCTAATGATTTAAGGAAAGAACTAATTGCCCTTAATCTCTCATCTAATGGATCTTCTTCTTGCTGCTCTCCTTGCTGCTGCTGCTGCTGCAGCAAAGAGGAGGAAGCTTTTGCTGCTGCAGCAGCAGAAGATAATTCTTCTGCTGTTAATCCCTCCAGCAGCTGCTGCACTTGCTGCTGCTGCTCTTCTCTTAATGTTAATACTCTTTCCTCTACTACATCCTCCTCTTCTTGCTGCTGCTGCTGCTGCTGCTGCTGCTGCTTCTCTCCTCCTGCTGCAGTTGCTGCTGTTGTTGCTGCTGCTGATGTTGAGCTGTTGTCACAAGAAGCAGTCTCAGCTGTTGCTTCTGTCCCTGCTGCTGCTGCTGCTGCTGTTGCTGCTGCTGCTGTTGCTGCTGTGTCTGAACCCCCAGGTGTATCAGCAGCAGAAGTACCACTAGCAGCAGCATCTTTATCACCATTCTCTGTAGCTGTTGCTGCTGCTGCTGTTGCTGCTGCAGCAGGTGCTTCCTGTGACCTCTCTTTTGCTGCTGCTGCTGCTGCTGTCTTTAGGGACAGGAGACGAATGTGCTGCAGCACAGCAAGATGCTCATCGCTGCTGACAGCAGCAAATGGATCAAAAGCAACTGTTGCAGCAGCAGCTGCTGCTGCAGCTGCTGCTGCTGCTGCTAATGAACCCTGCTGCTGCTGCTGAGCAGCAGCAGCACTGTCTCCCTGAGCAGCAGCCTTTAGCTGCAACTCTTCTAGTGTACCTACTGCTGCTGCTGCTGCTGCTGCATCAGCAGCAGCAGGCAGCTGCAGCATCATTGGATAACTGCCATTGGATGGCCCTGCATGCAGACACAAACCCTAAACCCTAAACCCTAAACCCTAAACCCTAAAACCCTAAACCCTAAACCCTAATATAGCTCTAAACCCTAAACCCTAAACCCTAAACCCTAAACCCTAATTAAACTTACAACACTTTAAAAGGGAAGAAAAATCATCTGTTTGCGATTTGTTGCTGCCATCATCCTGCTGCTGCTGCTGCTGCTGCTGCTGCTTCTCTGCTGCTGCTGCTGCAGCAGCAGCATTTGTCTTGCCTTCTCCATCCTTTTGCTTCTCGTCTTCCTGCTTAAGCCATATGCCGTCCTTTTGCTGCTGCTGCTGCTGCTGCTGTCCATCTGCTGCTGCTGCTGCTGCTGCTGCTGATTCTGTTTCTGTTTCCGCTGCGTCGGTCTTGACCCTCAGTGCAGCAGCAGCTTGCTGCTGCTGCTGCTGTCCTGCAAGCTGCAATAAGTGCTGCTGCAGCAGTTGCTGCTGCAGAAGCAGCTGCTCCTGTCCATTCATCTGGATAGGACCAGCAGCAGCAGCAGCTGCTGCTGCTGCTGCTGCTGCTGCTGCTGCATCATCAGACGTGGCAGCAGCAGCATCTTGCTGCTGCTGCTGCTGCAGGCCATTTGCTTCTGCAACACCATTGGTCTGTGCATCTGCTGCATCCTGAGGAGTTGTAGTTCCCTGCTGCTGCTGCTGCTGTTGCTGCTGCTGCTGCAGCAGCGGCAAGCCAGCAGCAGACAGCAGCGCGGGGTGCATGCCTGATAGCTGCGTAGGTAGAGGAATATTAGCAAGAGCAGCAAGAGAAGCAAAACGGTCTGCTGCTGCTGCTGCTGCTTGCTGCTGCTGCGGTGCAGCAGCAGATCCACCAAAGAGACCACCAGATGCACCTGCTGCTGCTCCTGCTGCTGCTGCTGCTGCTGCTGCTGCTGATAGACCAGGGAGGCCCATACCATCTAAGGAAGCAGAAGACACGAAGGCACCATCGGCTCCATAGTTTAAACAATCAGGCAGCAGCAGCTGCTGCTGCTGCAGTTGCTGCTGCTGCTGCAGTTGCTGCTGTAGCTGTAACTG